TTCCTCTCTTTTAGGCATTATATGCCTCCCCATAAGATATATCTCAACAGACAGAAACAATGATAAACTATTTCTTCTAATATTAGAAAGTGTCATAGTTCCAAAGATGAAACAGACCTACAAATGCACATAAAGAAGATTCCAATGAAAACCACATAAGCTTATCATGAGATATGGAGAATCATCTAGTAAGTCTCTTCTTCTAGTTGTCGTCTCTAAGGTGAATTTAATCACAAGGCTTCCATTCCCCCCCCCCACACACACACACTAAGCTGCTGTTTCAACGTTCTGCGACATAGGAGTCTCAGCAGGTCACCACATCAAAAGTGGGCAGGATTACCACCCTTCTGCATTTCATCTGAGATGGATCTTTTTCTCAATGGTGCTTAAAATTTCTAATTAAAACATTGCCATCTTTGCTGTTAATTAGTTCAAAGAAAAACACAGAAATGCTCTGCAAGAACATCCTTATGTGTTGGCTGAAGTTTATCACCAGCAAGATTGTCAGCAACTTTAAGTCCCCTACTTTAAAACCGCATCATTTAACTGTATGTGTGAATTCAGCACAATGTTTGGTCTTGGTATATTTAATTATGTTCTCTTACAGATAAATAATCAACTTTCATTGTGTGACAGAGATGTATGAGTAACTTTGGGATTTCTAGTAAGAAGAAGAACCCTAACCTTCAGCTGATAATCTGATTATTGCATGCATCCAACTACATCAGTGTCCAATTTGATTCATGGATGAGATGGTAGCAGAGGGAGGTGGCTATGGCAGTAATGGTTGATCAAATTAGGGTTAAATTTAATTTAATTTAATTTAATTAATTCAATTTATATGCATACAAATTGGCATACAAGCAGCTGAAGTTTTAATAAAAGTTTTCTTAAATTCAATATTGGGTCACTAAAACACAGTACATAGAATTAGTTTGGTTCACACAATATCTTGGTGCATCTCATGAATGAACTTTTAACAATATGCACTCTTTAAATTCAGAAGTAATGATCTACTCACCCTATAAGAGATAATCATGGGTAAAAAGTTCGTAACTGACATTCTTAAATAATTCACAGTGAATCAGGAATTATTTGTGATCCTTGATCAGTAATGGACAATACAACAAGAAAATCAGCTACTTTCATTATTTTAGAAATGTGTTGAAGAAGAAAATAACCAGATAGTAATCTTCAACTGAGATGGCAAAATGATTATTTTAAGTGGTTGAAGTATGTATGCAGTTGTCTATGTTAATAGCACAAATGGATATCTCACTGATAAACCTTAAAATGTTTTATAACTTACATACATCCTAAAGTTTTATGCTTAGTCTATGAATGTTTCTGCTCCAAAGGTGATTGGCTGTCATAAGCAACAGGCTTGTATAATCCGTTTTATTGAGTCTGTAGCAAGAGGGCACCAAATCCCACAGGAATGGCATTAGTCAGCACAGAAGTTGGAGCATTCAGATTATAATAAACTGAGCAAGTATCCTTAGCTGTTATATCTTTCAGCTACCAAAATGCAAAGTCTCAAATGCTGCAGGCTAGTGCCAAGCAACTTTTTCTAATCAGCAGCCTCAGTGGTTCTGAAATATCTGCATAATTGGGAATACATTTCATAAGAACCACAGTTGGTTAGAAAAGAACATTTAACTCCAGATTCTTAGGAATTGGGTCATGCAGAATAGTTCTTACTTTCCTTGGATCAGGTTTAATTCCTACAACTTTTTTTTTCTAATATAACAAACTCTTCAAGACAAAACTGGCATTTGTTTAATTGGTTTTATGGAATCCTTCAAAAATCGCTCTCAGTCTATCACAGAGCTGCTCAACAGTTGCTGGATAAACAATAACATCATCCATATACCTGCCTTAACAACAACCACAATTAATAATAAACATCATTCAATGGAAAGATTCTGGTGCCATTTTTAACAAACTTTGGTGGCCTCTCACTTAACAAAAATCAGAGCAACTTGCACAGCAGGCAAAATATTGTCTATTGTAGGCACAGTGGTGTTCTTACCCCATATCCTTATCTCATGTTCTCAGGTTAACATGAAGACTGATTTCATTAGTACCTGAATTTGTACTTTTCGTACAATATCATTCGTCAACATTTTGTTTAATTCAGCTTCCATCGAAGCATATAGTATTCCCCTCCAATCTCAGGCGGCAGGCACAATAGACTCATCCACTATAACTATGTGAGAACATTCATTAATTCAGTAGATAAGCCCTTCGGACAAGACATAGTTTCAGTCTCACCAATTGATCCATCTGAGAATGAGAATGAGCAATAGCAGTTATAATATGGCTCAGAAGTCTCTCTCTGAAGGCTATGAAAGGAAAAGGTCTGGACAAGCAGTGGTTCTAAACCTTTTTTGATAACATACATAAAATCATCAACCGTATCCAAGCCAACATCATAATAAAGCAATTGAAGCACATGAAAGTGTTGGGCTGCCCATGGGTTATCTATCTGTCTGTCTGTCTGTCTGTCTGTCTGTCTGTCTCTGTCTGTCTGTCTGTCTATCATCTATCTATCTTTCTATCTTTCTATCTTTCTATCTTTCTATCTTTCTATCTATCTATCTATCTATCTATCTATCTATCTATCTATCTATCATCTATCTATCTATCTATCTATCTATCTATCTATCTATCTATCTATCTATCATCTATCTATCCATTTTTGTCAGCAGCCACTTAACTCTTTGCTTGTAAATGCTACATGACAGCTTTTACTACAAACAAATGCCCATGAACTCTTAGTATCAGTCACCCTCTCTAACTGTTCCCCATTAATACTCACAACTTATTTTTATTCAACATTCCCAAAATAAAGTCTTCCTCATCCTCAACGTCTATTGTTCTAAAGGCCTTTAGAAACTTTCTCCTGTGCACACTCATTTCACATTTTGTTAAAATTAATCCAGTTTGCCGGCAGGAGAAAGGGCATCCCATCACTGGCAACGCGGCAAGAGGTAAGATCTTTTTCTTTCGTGAGCATCTGTTTCGTTGTTTGCAGGGAAACAGAAGCTCACGAAAGAAATGTCACGGAGATCTGACCTGGGGCAATGGCATGCGCGCACACACTTTTCAGTTTGGGCATGTGAGCGCACGCAGTTTGGGCACTCGGTGTCTAAAAGGTTCACTATCACTGGCTTAGAACATACTACTGTTTTGTATATCAATGTCCTGACAGCTAGAGTTGCCATTCCTACGTTCTAACTGTAGCAACAGACTGATAATTATTAACTATTCTTTAGAATTGTGGGCAAATCACTTTGCAAGTTTCTTATAAAATAAAATAGCAGATAAAGAAGACATTCTATATTGATCAAAAAAGCAAGTAATTTCAAATGGTACAAAGGCAAACCTGTAATTATACTAGAATGCCTCAATAACATCTGGATATTTTTACCCATAGGTATTATACATATGCTCAAGAATTTCTTCTTATCTACTGTCTTTAAAATTCTGTTTTTCATGTGCCATTATATTATCCCGTGCTACTGACAAAAATGGCATTAGACAAGCTTCAGATAACGTAAGACTCCAGATGGAGCAGAATATGCTTATATTGATGTGCACTGTAATTAACCTGCATGAACATGGTAAGTTTGGGGATTGTTCCAGCATCTTGCTTCTGGTAACTGGAGCTTAGGGTGAGAGAAGATCTGATGTTTTTATGAAGAGGTTAAAGACCTTCTTAGCATTTAAATGACTCTCCAGAAAGACATTGGAGATGATGCATTCTGATGACTGTGATAATAAATCAAAGCAATTTCCCTTAGACAATTGAAAGACCCCTCTCTGGTTGAGCTATTAGAATGTAATAGAAAGCAGTGGTTTGCATAGGCCAGGTTTGATCTGTGACACTTATAGACATTTGGTATAAATTCCAAAGTAGCTTCAGCCACTCTGATGTATAATTCCCTAAGTGCATTAATCGAGGCATCTAAAGAGTCAATAGGTGCTTTTATTCTATATCCAAATTTCAACGGTTCCATCAAAACATTCCTGTACTGAGTTAAATATTTATTCTAAGCATCTTCAGTTTGAAGTAAGGTGCCTTTTTCTCCTGCTCACTTATCAGCATGGCAAGTTTTGCAACTTAAGCAACACAAACTGGCAAATACTATTCAGGTACTGTGAAGTGGTAATTCTTAGCTGCTGAAAATGCAGCTGGGCACATCGTTTTAGCTCTGTTCTATGGTATTAGTCTTCCTTCAGAGGTTTTCTTTTCTGTCCTTTTTTTAAGAATAAGAGAAAGAGAGAAATGTTTGGCAGTGACAGAGTTGAGAGGAACAGAATAACTGTGTAATCTCAACCCAGACCAGATAAAATGTTCAATGGAAACTTGAGCATTTCTTGTTACCTGAAACGGTTACATTGAATTCCCATCAAAGCAAAACAGAGAGTTGGGTTGGAATTAAGTTTATTGCATTTGCCAAACTAATCATCTCACTGAATAAAACAAGGATTCGTTTCGTTTATAATGGGGGAAAGACAGTGGTTGTCACACTGGTTGAAACTGGGAAATTAAGCAAGAACCTTATCGTCTCCTTCTCAGAAAGAATTGTGAGGAACCAGGTATTGGAACAGCAGCAAGAAATGTGGCACAGAGTGCAAAGCAGAGAAAAGATTATTTGAATTTAAAGTCAGAGCAAAGGCTTGAAAGCAAATATATACACACCACTAGGCACCGGGGTGAGAGGAACTAGTGATGGTGCAAGAATATGAATTTGCAAAACAGTGAAATCATAAATACATAAATATTGTGCTGTTTGAAACATGGCAAGTCTGTGCACAAGTGCGCAACATGGGAGAAAACTGAGAGTGCCACGTATTCCAAAGGCAAGCAAGCAGCAAGCTGGCTGGTTATAAAAGAGTGTTTAGAAGATGAAAGATTTCATAGGAAAAGAGGTGTTGAGCCATCATATTGTTCAGTGAGGGCTAGGAAGAAAAAGTGGAAGGGAAGTTCTTACCACATTTAGAAAGTCTCCCAGTCATCAACTCCATACAGTTAGTGGTGTCTAGATCATAAGGGTGGAAAGAGGAGGAAGGGAAAAATATCAAAAAAATGATTTCCAGAGCTCTACGTATACGGTAGCAAGATAACAAAATTATTTCCTTGAGCAGAAAGCATATTATATGGGCATGGCATAGCTGCCCCAGATTCTGATTTTTCTTCTCTGATTAGCGCTATAAAAGTATTTCAAAATCAGCACTCAAGCACAAAGTAAACTTTTTCTCTGTTACATTTCTCCTGTCTAATATTGATGTTACAATAAACATGCAAACATTGGTGATCAGAATGTTAATCTTGATTGATTTCAGACAAATGTTGTAAATATCCTTGCCATCAGAAATATAAATGAAGGATTTTAAATACGTGTTTTGATGTTTACAACACAGAATTGTGTCTCCAATCATATGTGAATGGTTGCATTCATTATAGAACATAAACACACAAAAAAGGAATAAAATATTTTGCTAGGCTGCTAACACAGGGAAGTTTCTTCAGATCTGGAGAACTTAAACTTAGCCAGATCAAATCAATGCACCCAACATGATGATCAGAGCATTCTACAACAAAAAGGAAAACAAGATATTGCATGCCAAATTCTGTGGTCCCATTTCTCACCCAGTGCCTGGACTATAAATAATAAGACATTTTGATGTTTTCCAAGTAATTGTGGTTTATTGAAAACAATTATATATATATATTGTTTTCGTAGATTTTCATGGGTAGAGGTATGCAAGTTTTGGTGTATTCGGGTCTTTTCCCGTGTAAGATTGAGAGTATCTTGGCGATGTTTCGACGAGGTCCCACTCGTCATCTTCAGGCTGGTGTCTTCGATTTTGTGCTTGTGCGAGGAAAGCGTGATTGGAGCTGCCGTCTCTCTATAAATACTGGTGGGGAGGTGTGGGGTGCTGCCTTTGTTGCTGTGAGTGGGTTGGTTGCCTGTGTTGTTACATCTTGATTAGTTGATGGAGCTGATGTTTGCAGATTAGTCAGCTGTTTCGTAACATCCTGTGTGGGTGAGGTCCTTGATATGTGCCCATTAGTCTTTTGTGTTTTAACAATCTGGGTAATGGGCTGTGTGTTAACATCCTGAGTTCTAGTGTTGTGGTATCCTGAGTTTTTTGATGTAATGTCCTGAGCAGATGGTTATGATGCCACATCCCGGGCTTTGGTTTGGCTCCGAGTTTGAGGTCTTGCCATGTGTTCATGGCGTGTGTCAGTTTGCTTTGTGTAACCTCCCCACCAGTATTTATAGAGAGACGGCAGCTCTGATCACGCTTTCCTCACACAAGCACGAAGCACGAAACTGAAGACACCAGCCTGAAGATGACGAATAGGACCTCGTCGAAACGTCACCAAGATACTCTCAATCTTACACGGGAAAAGACCCGAATACACCAAAACTTGCATATATGTGTGTGTCTCTCTCTCTCTCTCTCTGTGTATAACTGTTATTTGGATTAAGTTAGTTAGTGCTTCCAGCAATTTACTGCCAGAACTGCTGTAAACACATCTATAATTAAAAGAGATGGAACTAATCTCAGTCCAAAGGATGAAACAGCTGTTCTTCCAGGCGTATGCTTTTCACGCACATGGCAGAAAAATAAAGGGCTGTTAGATTTGCAGCAGCATGGAGGGAGAGAACTAGATATTTTGAATTGGGTCAGGGTTTCCTTAATAGTAGCATAGCCATGGCAAAATGGTCTGAACGTTGTAATGGATATAACTATATTTTGACACAAATTGAACTTTGCAGTTTTCATAAGATGGCCAGAAACAATGGGCCATCTTAAGGATTTTTGGTAGCACAAATAAAGATATTGCTCTCTACGCCTGCTTACAACTTGGGTGTTAGCTTAAGATGGAAAGTACAATTGAACATATTGCATTTACTTCCCATCTAGTGCTCTTTTGCCCCATTTTCCTCTTTTTCAAGCTTGATGCAAAATTAAAATAGTCTTTTTATTAGGTATTTTAGAAAACATGCTCCATCATAATCCTGGCAAAAAAAAACCCCATCCTTTTGAGCATGATTCTAAATTAATTAATACAAAGTTCCATTTGGTAATTATTTTGCCCTTTTTGGCTTCTGGCCCTATAATACAAATTTTGCACCATTTCTACTATAGCTATTAGTGCTTCAGCAAGTCATTATCTGGTATTTCTTGGCCACAATAAGTAGTTTAGAATTATTTATATACTTAAATAATTTATATGGCTGCCCATTTCAGAGCTTGAAACTATAGCTACAAACAGCAATCTGGGATGCTCGAAGTTAAACAATACCTCATAAAAGCTTCATCAGTGATTTGTTATTATAGAAATGGCCACTACTTAGTAAATATGTAAAGCAAAAAGTGGAGGTTTTAACTCCATTTTGTATCCCACTGCACCAAAAAAAAAGGTGGAAGTCAACTGCTTTCCCCTGCCTCCTAAGGACCTTGCACCCATTTCCCCTTCTTTTCCTTCCCCTATTTTCTTATTATCTTTGTTCCCATTTTTATTTTATATTATAATAAACTTCATTTTTTTAAAAATAAATAAATAAATAAAAGCTATATCAGCAGTGGAGTTCATCAGAATTTCAGGGTGGGCTGGTTTCACAGTGCAGGTGCTGCTGCTGAGAAAACAGGATTCCTGGGTCCAAGAAGGTGACCATTTGCAAAGTTACATAGAAGTAAATTGATTTGGAAGTGATGGGGTACTTTTAGAGGGGAGGATGGGAAGGAATGAATGGAGAATTGTCCAAAACCTGAAAAGATTCTGTTCAGGTAAGTGCCCCACCATCAATTTCACTTATTTTTCCAAAGATTCAGATTTTACCAGAAGGGAAGATCTGTGTTAAAAATTATTCAAATTTATTCCTAACATTCTTGACTACATTTCAACTTTTCTCATGAAATAATCCCCAAGAGGGATTAGCACTGCCCAAGCTATGTGAGGGATATTTATTTATGTATTAAATAAACTTATGACTGCATGACTGTAACTTTGTTGCTTGTACCCTTACAATTTATATTGATATTAATTGCTTCCTAGTATGATTTGATTGCTTATTTGTACCCTATGACTATCATTAAGTGTTGTACCTATGACTCTTGATGAATGTATCTTGTCTTTTTATGTACACTGAGAGCATATGCACCAAAGAAAAATTCCTTGTGTGTCCAATCAGACTTGGCCAATAAAGAATTCTGTTCTGTTCTGTTCTGTTCTGTTCTGTTCTTGTTCCGTTTCTATTCTGTTCTGTTCTGTTCTGTTCTGTTCTGCTCTACTCTATTCTATTTTTATATGCTGCCCATCTCACTGTTGGAGGGACTCTGGGAAAATACATTCTAGCATCCTCATTCTGTGTAGGTTATAAGCATGCTAGCAGAAATGGTTGATTTAGCATGGTGTGGCTCTAGAACCTCTACTGATTTATTGCATGTTGGGGAGTGTAATTTTGGTCCAGGCAATTATGTGGCTTTTAGTATGTCTTTAATGTACTTTTAATATATGTGTTGGACTATTACATGACACCAGAGTCTTCTTGGAGCTGAATAGCCTCAACTCAACCCAATATCTCAGAAAAAGATTCGCTTATTATTTTTTTAAGGGAAGAACAGGAAAACAGAAAGAAAAATATGCATTAAATGAACTTGGAGCAAGAAGTGCAATTGGACTGACTATAAAGCAAATAGCATCTCAAAAAACTATACATGAAGAAACACTGTGTGGTTTTTAAGAATCAGATGAGAAAGAATACACTTTTTATAATATATACAGTATATATTTGTACAAGCCAAGAATTTAACAAAAATAAAGAATTTTATTTAAAAAGTTATGGGAAAGTTTGCAAACAATGTTGCTGTAACAATGTATTTGTATGGAGTCCAGTCTCGTTAGAGGAGAAACAAAGGCAACCCTCTGAAAAGCAGTTGATGGAGAGCAGCAGAAGAAGCCTACTGCCTTCACATCTGGCATATAGTCCTACAGAAAGCAATGCTCTACTATGGAATTTTGGATCGAAATAATGCTCAACTATGGATGCTAAAACTGGAAATTCATTCAATATAGCAATAGCACTTAAGTGCTTTACAGCCCTCTCTAAGCGGTTTAGAGTTAGCATATTGCCCCCAACAATCTGGGTCCTCATTTTACCCACCTTGGAAGGATGGAAGGCTGAGTCAACCTTGAGCCTGGTAAGATTCGAACTGCCGAACTGCAGGCAGCAGAAGTAGGCAACAGTACCACATTCTAACCATTGTGCCACCATGGCTCAATATCCTGATAGATTTTCAATTTTTCAGTAATCAAATGAAAGGTGAACTCTGTCTACACGTGCAGTGCAGGGGTGGGTTTCAGCAGGTTCTGTCCAGTTCTGGAGAACCGGTAGCGGAAATTTTGAGTAGTTCGGAGAACCGGTAGTAAAACTTCTGACTGGCCCCGCCCCCATCTATTCTCTGCCTCCCAAGTCCCAGCTGATTGGGAGGAAATTGGGATTTTGCAGTAACCTTCCCCTGGATTGGGGAGGGAATGGAGATTTTACAGTATCCTTCCCCTAGAGTGGGGTGGGAATGGAGATTTTACAGTATCTTTTCCCTGCCACACCCATCAAGCCACGCCATGCCCACCAAGCCACACCCACAGAACCGGTAGTAAAAAAAATTGAAATCCACCACTGATGAAGTGAGACATAATATAGTATTAGGCTTAAAGTGGTAAAACATAATGTGGATATATTTTGTGTTCCCTTTATGTCTAAACTCCATGGAAGCAGAAAACTATTCAGTAGAATCCCAATCTGCTGCAGACACTTAAATTCTTTGAAATATATATGAACATGTTATGTCAAATATGCAGTTTTATACTATGTTTTATAAGCCATTCCAGGGTCTTTCTAGGAATGTACCACCCGTTGTCATTGGTACTTTGTTTTAATGTTAGAATTTATATCTGTTTCAATATGTTATTCTAATGTAAAATAACTATTTAAAACTAATAGTTCTGGTGTCCTCAGTGTGACACTTCTGAGTACCAGTGTACCTACTGGCTCTTGACCCTTGTATTAGAAAAAAAAATCCAGGTTTAGTTACACCCTGGATATACTACAGGATTAGCACCTGGGGAGATTGAGGCAACTTCTCCACTGATGCAGTGGTGCATCAGGGAAAACTCTTCATTTCTAGAGACTGCTTAGAACCAAGTCCCATGAAATAATATTTCACTTTCTGATCTGGTTGCTTCCAAGTCTGAATTCTTATGTTCCTGTTATGGGAACATTTATATTTACCCTCTATAAACAATATTATTTTTATTGGCTTTGATGGCACTTTTACTTCATAAATTCTGAATGATTGCATCTATTCTATTAATAAATAAACCTCAGATTAAATTTCCAATGTAAAAAAGTTAGAAAGGATAGATTCCTGAATTTATATAGAGAATTGCCAATTAAACAAGATTATTTTTCAAATCACAGAACATTAAAAACACATTAATCAAAACTTTCACCATTTAAATTGCAGAAATATCACATGAGTGAGTCATCATATAAACTTGTTTAAATATATCATTGTCTAATTAGGGCATTTCCCAGCAAGCCATTTGTATTAGTTCAGGCTCTCTTCTGAACCGCATTTCTATAAGGTTGATAACAGTATTTGTGAAGTGATCTTCACAAATACCACGCCGGGGGGGGGGGGGGGGGAGAAAAAAAATCACTTTTCTTTTCCCACCCCACCCCCCTGCTACAACTCTATAGAGTTTGGGGGCAATTCCTTTGCCCCCCTGAAAGAAATCCTGGTCTCACTCTGTTTCCTGGTAATGAAATTTTAACATCTCATTTCTGATGTCTGCCCATAGGTAGGACTGACCATGTATTTCCTGTCCTTGGAAATCTACATCCCTTGGAAAGGAGCTGACAAGATTACAAGATTGTTGAGAAGCTACTCATTCACAACTTGCAAGAATGGTAAAATGTAGGTGGGTAGCAACTTTATTTTTATATGGAATGAGGGAGAAAGGAATCTTGGATAGCTCAAAACTGATTTGATTACTTTCTGCCCTCTGTTTTTGGTAAGCTGTAAGTGAGCACTGACAGGTTCATGGTATTTCCTCCTCCCAGCATTTCAAGGTTACCCGAAGTCTCATGTTTTGAAAAGACTGGGGAATCAAAACAATGGTGGGATAAAAGAGCTCTTCAGATTACCTAACTATTCCTAAAAACACTGTTAGTTATAAGCAACCTGAAGAAACCAATTTTCCCTTATCATAAATCTGCTTCTCAATTCTTTTGCTTGCACTATTGTAGGAGCAAAAGAAGTTTTAATGCTACAGTTTGAAGAGAAATAACCCAATTAACAGGACCAGAAGAAGGTACATCTTGCCTGTCATCATACACTCATTGTCAACTTTCCTGTACTTCTAAATGCTGGTACTTGGAAATAACACTCAAAAAGTTTAGAAACTACCATAGACTACCAAGATAGAGCAGAGGGAATTAGACTGAGTAATATTTAAAGTAATATTTCATAGAGTAATATTTACTTTATGAAAGAAAACAAAGTTAATATGTTCATAAAGCCTGCTGGTAGAGAGACAAAATCACAATTCATGTTAATTGAAACATTATTTGTTTTGCAAACGTAACTTTTACTAATTGGCATAAAGTTAGGCAGATTCCTTTTCAGCCCAAAGCTTTCTGAGAGCAAAAACTGCATTCCATGGGTCCAAGATTCTTACGATGATAAAATCATTTGTGCAATTAATTTCTGTAGGCTTATTTTATTGTTAGCTCTATATTCTGCCTTTTGTTCAGTCACCCAAGGCAACTTACACAGAGGTCTCCCTTCCCTTTTATCTTCACCATAGCAATCCTGTGAGGTAGTTTCACCAAAGACACCCAGTGAGTTTCCATGGCTGACATTGGACTTCACCTTAGGTTTCCCCAATTCCAGAGAAACTGCTGAAACCTGATAATACACCATTCCCCTAAAGCCTTGATCCAGATGAGTTTAGATAAAAAGTAATAAGCAAAGTAAGTCCCAAGAAGCAGAAATGAGAATGAAGACAGTATTTAAATGGAATATGAAGGCGTGACACACAGACACACCACTGAGATGAGATGCATGTAGAGAAAAACCTGATGGCCACCAACACAGATGTGGACTTGCAAAGAATGAGAAACCACAGAGACCAGTCCTGTTCTGAAACCCAGGTGAGCCAGTTTAATAAGCTGGGTCAGGAGAATTAGCCAAGGATCACCTCCCTGAAGTCACAAGTCCCTGCTGGCAGTGTTACAACTAGAGACAACATTCACAGGTATGTCACCTAGGCAGGAGGGGTGCATTTATTGATATACATTATATTAGCTTATTCCCTTTCTCAGTATAGTTTATTCATATAGAATATCCAATCACTCACCTGGAATATCCAATCACTCACCTGATTGGAAAAATGGGGAACATTATTTTGTTAAAAAAACAAGTTCTCCAAACCTCTTTAAGAGGGTAGACCCAGATGAAGTAATAACAACTAATGTGTCTTTTTACGTAAATAATGGTTCCTCATAGACTATGAATTGGTTATCAATTACTTAGGTTGGAAAAACATCATGCTAAACTGAATATGGTCATTATTTCCTAAATAAGAAGATGGTGTTGGAATCAGAGTAGCATTCTTTCATATGGTTAGTCAACACTCATCTGGCACTGATTAAGGGATTAACTCTTTATCAGTCCTCTCCCATTCCAATATAACTAGGAAGCTATACTCCTTGGAAAGTGTCTTCTTGTGATACCTTTCTTGATTATCACTCTTATTGAATTATACCTGCACTTTTGTTATAACTTAAAATTGTGGCTGCTTGAAAATGCTTGTTTCTTGTCAAGAATTCTAACCAGCCAGACGTTTGTTTTAATGTGAATTTGCATGGGATGGCAGCTGTTCATTAACTTTATTACGTATCAACTGCATATGGGAAGTTCATTCTCTGCAGTGACTGGCCAAAACTTTAAGATTATAATGCAGTCTAGCAGTAGGGCCAAAATTTGGTGCAAGGAACAGTCTGGTCAGGCTAAAGTGTCATTGGACAGGAAATCAATAAGCAATCATTCTGCAATGTTGATTTAGTGGGTTCTATCCTAATTCACTTTCCTGTTATTCATTAGACATTCCTTTCTCTTTTACTAACATGAACAACTACATATACAAAATATGTATACATATGTACATATACATACACTATTTGCCCATAGTTAAATGGCATACATTTTGCACGTAGAAGATACTAGCTTGGCTTATACGTGAATGGCTGGAAAAAAACTATGCGTAAAACCTAATATATCAATTGAGGAAGCTGAAGAAAAGGATACAATATAAACAACTTCCAATTATCTAAAAGTTGCAGTATTTTGAATATCTTGTAAGTCTTTTCCTATTCCAGCTCTCCATTTCAGATACTATTTATCCCCTTTCATTTCCATATTACATTTGCCTCCAAATGCTTACATAAATTATCTGAAAAGGTTGGGCTTGTCACTAATGTACGGAGAAATCTCTTATTTCTCTAAGCATAGGAAAATGAAAAAAAAAGGTTCCATTTAGATCGATGGCCTAACTGTATTTTGGATCTATTTAATCACATTTTCCCACATCCTCCCTGTTAACAAATATCACCTATAATCATTTTGTTTGGGAATAACAAAATTTACTTTTTTGGGAGGGAGGGAAGTGACTTTTAGAATGTGAAGAACAGGATTTGAAGAAGACTAGAGAGGTTAGAAGAAATTGCAGGGACAAAATTTTGTTAGTAAGGCTTTTAGGGAATGTGTCATCCCATTAAGAAAAAAAAAGCAAAGAGAGCAAAGGCAATCTCCTTCTGTCTTTGCTCAATGATTTTAAGTTTAGAGAGCAGAGAAAATGGCACACCTGATTCTTCAATACGAGTTCCTTCCAAAAATTAATCTTGCTTTAAGCGTCCAGGTATTCCCACCTGCTTTCAAAATTCTATTTCTTTAGGAACTAAATTAAATCATTGCTTAATTTTGTTTTTTTTTTAAATAATTGAATACGGCCATTTTGTATAATGTTTCAAACCATGTCTGTATATTGGACAGATCATTAGAAGGATACAAATAGCTGATGACACTTCCTGTGAAATAGGGACAGATGGCTCTTAGGGTGGGGCAGGGCAGGGCGGGGCCATGGGGAGGAATGAATTTAGGAAATGAGAATTGTTGCAAGGCAGGCAGGGGTAGTGCAAATGAGAGGGAGGTGCTGTGGTGTCTTACTGGTTGGTCTGAATGAAATTAGTTTTCAAGTGCAATGTGACGTTGAAAGGTGCTTCCAGTTCATGCCCTTTGCGTGAAGCAAAGAAAAGCTTTGGAAGCGACTTACCTGATAATTGTTGCACTGATGGCTGGTCATGTGTGCTTAACAATTGTGCCTGAATTGTTTCTACTACTCTCTTAAAGCGACGGCTTGGACCTATCAAAAGAGATGTTACACTGTAAGATAAGGCAGAATATCACAGAATGTTGAGTGTCAGGGAAGAGGTAGGAAAAAGTCTATTTCTTTAATTTTTCCATTCAGATTCCTTCCTTCCTTCCTTCTTTCCTTCCTTCTTTCCTTCCTTCCTTCCTTCCTTCCTTCCTTCCTTCCTTCCTTCCTTCCTCTGATCACTGCATTAACCATCTCCCTGCCAAGATATTATTAGTAACAAACCACTGTATAGACATGATTTACCATCAGTGCATTTGATAGCACAGTATTTCTTCCACCTTTAACTTTCTTACCAAGCTAACTCCTGCCTCTCTATTTAATAAATTTATCCTGTTTCCCTTTTTAATTCTCGCTTCCAAAATTCTTGTATCTCACTTCTTCCACAGGTGCTTTTTCAAAAGGCAACTGGACTTTGTTTGCTTTTCCTTGAAGATGTTTCACTTCTCATCCAAGAAGCTTCTTCACTTCTGACAGTCAGAACTAAAGAAGCTTCTTGGATGAGAAGCAAAACGTCTTCACCGAAAAAAAAAAAGGGAAGTCCAGTTCCCTTTTGAAAAAGCACCTTTGGGACAACCATGACCTGGATGACTGAGAATCTCCATAGACATGTATCTCACTTCTTTCATTCACATGACATCTCGTTGTTCTTTGAGATCTTTCTTTCTCTCTCTTTTTGATCTAGTTAGTAAAAATGACCAGTTCTCTAGATGTTGTACCTTGTTTGGGTGGTATCAATATAAAAGCTAATAGCAATAGTTGATGAGAGATCTAATAAAATTATACATTGTTTAATCTTACTAAAGCTTCTATTTTCCTTTATTAATCTTGTTGGTTTGTCTGTAGGTTCCTACACATTTTTAGCTGTCTTCCACAAAGAAGATGTTGGTTCATTTTAGGGATTTTGAATAGCTTTTGTCACCAACATAAGCCAATCTGTACATTAAACAACAAACTATGTTTTAATTACAGCTAGCATAATTTATTAGCCAAGAAACTAAACACACAATATGACTTGTGTGATTGTATGAACTGGGAGGGAAAAAAGCAATATGGTATTTTTTTTAAGTGAATAGCTTCAAAATGTGAGTAACAAACAGAGATTATGTCTACCAAGAATATTCCATGCCACTTGAACTATATATTAAGCCTGTGAAGTGCTTGATAATCCACCCAATTCCTGAAATTTTAAGAAGGCAATAAAATTAGTTTTATTGAGTGTCAGTACTGGTCAAGCTCACCTCTGTGTATACTCGTACACAAAGTTTTATGGAGTTCTAAGACATTTCAATTAATCCTTCTTATTTCAAGTATTAAAAAAAAAACATCAGCTTTCCTCTTTTTAATTTATTTTTTACATAAGCCTAACAATTTGATTCTTTGGGGAAACACTAAATTCTACATGATTGATATATTAAGCTATGCAACCTACACTAATTATTTATTTCCATGTGTCCATAAGATAATGATTATACACTAGAAAATGGAAGCAATTACATATTTTGAACACTCAGAGTACTTTATTTGAATATTTTCGCATTAACGTGTTGAAGTAACTAGCCATATTTGAAGTAGACCTTTCTTCCTATCTACATTCTCAGACAGACAGCAGGTTTGAGACAATAATTTATTTCTTCTAGCTTTATTTAAAATAAATAAAAAAAAATATTTATCAGTTACCTGATAAAAGTGTAAAAGTGACGGAGTAGATCCCATTCTCTTTCTGGGCCTCCCCACCTTCTGTGTATGTAATGTCTACCTGGAACTTCACTGGCTTCTGGAAGACAGCAGGGCCTCCTGTGGACTTGTACTCTGCCCGGAAGCTTGTTTGGGAGATGACACTATGACTGAGACTGGGAATCTAGACCGAATGAAATGACAATTCAAAAACAAATCCTGCTAGCACAATAGGATCATCTTTGAAAAGCTTTCCCCCCACCCCTTACAGTTTGAAAGGGGATAGAAGAACATTTTTCTGTTAATTCTGAAATAATTGGTAATGAACTTCTCATTTACTCACTTTATGGTTGTTTAAGAATCGGATAGGTCTGCCATATATATTGATATATTTAAAAAACTATTCAAGCTATATAGATTGTTTATATTAAAAATAAATTGCTTTCCTTCACTGGGCCCTCTCACCATCCAATTATAATGCAACATTTAAGATGCCTGCCTATCTTTTCTAATTTATATACAATTTCAGCTCCACTGCCGAATATGATTGGCAAAAAAGTACTATTGACAGTTGCCTTTTCCCCATTTCCATCTTTTGTTTTGAAATGGCTTGTTTCCTTCATTTCTGGTCCTTTAATATGTTGCTTTTTTTCCCTCTAGTTATGAACAGAGCATTCCTGAGCCAAGTCTTAATTAGCCAATTTTTGTTCCTTATGGGATGGTAATAATTACTGGCTTCTTCTTTTCAGAGAAATGATCATTTGAATTATTATAATTGAATGAGTTTGATCACAAAATTTCTTTTGAATATATGTGGGCCAAACAAAAGAGAGGAGAAGAAAAGAAAGAACTGTAGCTGTAAGAAAGAAATATGTTTTCCTCAGGAGAAAATAGAAACTACGCAATTATGAAATATGTGGATCCACAAGCAAATAAGGAGGAACTAATTAAAAGTAAAGAACACAAACAAGCAGAATTTTTTTAAAAAGGGGCTGGAAGACAACTACACAATCCAGATAAAGACGGGATTTTGGTTCATTGAAATGAGATCATGTTTGCAGAGTTCTCATATTAGATTTTCCAAGGAGTCTTTGATTATGTGCCACACTTAACCACTTTTTAAATTCCATGTGGCACCACCCAGTGTCCTTCTCTGGGTTCAGAAATGAAGTATTTGGGTTGCATACATCCAAGACTATACCCTAGATTGGAAATAATATAGAACCAAGCCCTGAATAAGGCAATTACAAACCACTTCCAGATTGTTGCCAAGAAAATAACAGAGATGTTCCACAACAGGCAAACTAGACTTTGATAAAGATTTTACCTTTATTGTGGAAAAGTAGGTCATTTATGGCTGAGAGATGATGTCTTGTTTTGGATGTTTATTCATTCAATTGAATGGGATGTTTAACTTTATATACTTACCGACAGAAATGCATGTACTATATCAGCCTTGATAGAACTCAATGGTTTGTCCTTAATAACCACGAAGATCTGTTCTTCTTTCTCTAGGTTGATAAAATTACCAAACCAGGATTTTTTGGCAAGCCTGAATATACATGTGATGAGAAAGAGAAAGAAAAAAATAGGAAAAGACCAATAAAAATTAGGAAGAGCACAGAATTGTACTATAGGTCTTTCTACATCACAAAACAGGTATATTTTTTTCAGCCATGTCCCCATGATATAGGTTTCATCTCAACTTCAGCCCACAAATGAATCTGACTTAATTTTTTCTTAAATGTAATACTTAGCATTTGTTGTGACATAATCCAAGGGCAGCCTCACAATAAATACAAGTTATTTCACTCGGTCACCTTCTATCTTGGAGGGACATCAGGTGATTGCAGTGATGAAAATATAGGCATCATAGGGAAGACTGCAAGTGAAAATGGCAAGAGCAAATTGCAAAGTGTAGTTTTCATAAAACTTAAGTTGGCCAAGATTTCATTCCAGAGACCTTGGGACTACCCTTAGCACCTTGTATGAGGTCATTCACTATGTCAAAAAAACTTAAATTTTTACGGGTCAAAAGCCAGAAAAGGAAGGCTTAGTATTATTTGTGTAAATTTAGTAGTGCACATTAGTCATGGATATTATGGCTGTGAGAAAGCTTTATGAGAAAGAAAAGGCAGCTGGTTAAAGAAAAACACTGGTAGTACCCTTTGGGGCTATTACTTAAAAGCCTGTCCATAGTTCATGCATCTTTAGCTGGGCCCTCTAACAGCTATGGTTTTTCTACCCTCTGCTCTCCCAAAACTCTGGGAACACATACAACTAGAAATGGCACTGTGGATTAGTAGCTATTGCAATGCATGCCTGAGGTTATTTAGTACTCATACATCCCTCTATAGAGGGAAACTATAAAATGAAAACTAGTTTATTTGGGGTGTGTGTGTGTGTGTGTGTGTGTGTGTGTGTGTGTGTGTGTGTGTGTAAAACGGAAGACATATTAAAAAAGAGCATGCATGCATTCATCTCTCCCTCTCTCTCCCTTACCCTGCCTGACAAAATAAAACTGTTATAGTTTGGTAAATCTCTCCCTCCTTCTCCATAATAGAGGATTGAGAAAATTAAGCAGAATTGCTCAAAATATCTACAAGTCAGGGGTGGGCTACTGGGGGTTCGCAGGGGTTCAAGAGAACCTCTAGCTAAGATTCTGTGCAGTTCAGAGAACCCCCAATCCCACTCCTGGATGGCCCTGCCCGCCCCTCCCCTCCCACATGGCCCGTTTTGGATGCAGGTAAGTGCAGGGCGCACGCGGAGGCTCGGGGAGGGTGAAAAACAGGCCTACTGGAAGTTTGGGAAGGCCTCCAGAAGGCCCCCAGAGCCTGGGGAGGCCGTTTTTGCCCTCCTGGAGGCTTGAGGAAAGCCTCCAGAGCCCGTGGAGAGCAAAAACACCCCCCCACCATGGTGCAGGAGGCCAACTAGGCCACGCCCACCATAGCCATGCCCATCCAGCAACCAGAGAACCCCTTGCTAAAATTTTTGAAGCCCACCCCTACCACAAACCAAATATAACAATGAGGAACAGTAAAGAGAAAAGTCTGCTTATTTAAGCAGATTATTAAGAAATATGTAGTAGAGCAAAGAGGGGACACTACATATTTGATCTGACCATGGCTTTCTGAAATATACTACTTGATTCAGAAAGCCTCAGAACACTCAAAGCATATTAAGAAATTTTGTTGAATCTGATTTCAGATTCCTCACCCTCCACCCACACATACCAAATCAGTGTTGATTCTTAGCAACTACATAGATACAATTTTCTCCAGGCCAATCCATATATATGTGCATAAACACCACTTATTATTAATTCCTGTAGGTGTCTGCCAATCGTAACCATTTATAAATTACTATCTCCCAACAGAAGTGTACTCTCCAGCCTATTGTGTGCTTTTAAACTGCAGGTCATTGGCGTATAGATTAGATGAATATTACTAATGGTTATGTGCACATAATAAACTGCCATATTGCATATAGTTATGCTACACATTTTAACAACTACGTATTTCTTTCTCCTCTAGTGTATATACACTTTCCCATCCACTGAGATATTTCCACCTCTTCATAATGCTTTAACATTTCCTTCTATTAGGGAGAATACTGTGCTACAAAAAGATACCACTGAAAGCATATGATTTACTATCTACTCAGACATAAAATTGCAAGGGACACATTTATGTTTATCTGTAACAAAATAAATCAGTTGCACTGGAGTCTAAAAGAAGGAATAAAAATACTGTTGACAGGGTTGTATGATCTAGAATAAAGATTATAAAGATTTTACATTTCCAGTGATGCTGCATAATCAGGAACTGTCTCTGATACAGAGATGGTGTTTTTTTTTTAAATCATACACAAAATAGAACAGCTCCTTGAAGAATATATTTTTAACTCGGAGGATAATTTAGCACAGAATGTGATGGAATAATAGCTTTAAGAAGTTGTTCACCTCAATAAAAGCTCTTTTTTATGGTTCACAGGGCTTTTTTCTTTTCTTTTTTTAGAAAGACCTAATTCATGCAGATAAAAACCACAGAGTGGTGGATGAGTGGTTCATCTCCTTTTTTGGAGATGAAGAGATGTGATAATTTAGATCAGAAAAGGCTGAAGTTGGAAGCGTTAATGTGGAGTCGCATAAAAAAAAGCAACAACCAGCTTCAGAATTCTAATAAACAACATGCCCCATATTGCTGAAAAGGTGTTGAAATTAACTCTAGATAATCAAGGTGACATGATCCATTTATGTACAGGGTCTGCTACAGAGAAATAATTCATGAAACATTATTTACGCCAGTCAAGATCACTGAAGTCTGGTGTAAAGAAGTTACTGACCCAAAGGTTGTAGTTTATCAATACTTTTTCAAGAGATGGGCAGTGGTATGTGTTGGAGGAGAGGTCGAATCAGGCAAGAGATATTATGCTTAAAGTCCTGTCCACTTTGTACATGCAACACAACAACTTTGTATCCATGTATAAGGGGGCAAGGTTTGAACCATGGATGAAATCCAGCAGGTTCTGACAGGTTCTGGAGAACCAGTAGCAGAAATTTTGAGCAGTTCGGAGAGCTGGTAACGGAAATTTTGAGTAGTTTGGAGAACCAGCAAATACCACCTCTGGCTGGCCCCAGAGTGGGGTGGGAAGGGAGATTTTGCAATATTCTTCCCCTGCCACACCCACCAAGCCACACCATGCCCACCAAGCCACGCCCACAGAACTGGTAGTAAAAAAAATTGGATTTCATCATTGGTTTGCAAATGGCATAAAGGTAGGCTAATACTGCTGGAGACTGAAGGGGAAAATTCTTGTCTTGCATTTTTAGTAGTTGTTGGTTTTTTAAAGCTTATATTTCTCTTTTGTTTCTGAGCTCTTTTATTATTTTAAATTTTCTTATTCAATATTTTATTTTCTACTACTTGCGGTTTTCATTTTTTTTTTCTTTTAGTACTTTAAACAATTTGTAATGATTTTTTTAAATTTTTTAAATACTTAATCATACAGAAAATTGTTTCTTTAAATTTTTTCATTAATTATCTTAATTGTTTCCCTGAATGTGAAAGGCCTCAGATATGCAGCCAATAACTAGGCATTTAAAAATCTGATTATTATTTTCATATGAAATTCACATCCATTCAGATATGAAAGAACTTTTATCTAGAGAATGGGTTAGTCAAATAGGAAGTAATAAAAATTTAAAATCTGCTAAGATTATAGTTAGTTTGATTAACAAATCTTTGACATTTCTAATGGAACAACAAATAAGTGATAAATAAAAAAGAAAAAATCTGACAAAAAGCGAGATAAGTGTGCCCCCTCCCCCCAAAAAAAGGAATATGTAAAGAAAAAGAATGGGTTTTGGTACAGATATAGATAAAAGTACATCCAATTCTTACTCTAAAATTAACAATAGTCTTCATGGTTTCTATAATCCTATATAATCCTAATCATCAAATCCCCAAATCAAAATTACATTTCTCCTAGTTTCTTGTAAAAAGTTCAAAAGTATCTTCATTAGCAAGTCGACCATCTCTTAAAATATTTCTTAATTTCATACCTCACCCTATTTTCTATAAACTCATTTCTAAATATTTAGCTCTCCATAGAATAGAATAGAATAGAATAGAATAGAATAGAATAGAATAGAATTCTTTATTGGCCAATTTTGATTGGTCACACAAGGAATTTGTCTTGTTATCAGCAAAGATCCAGTAAAAATAAGCAAAATACCTAATAACATAAACATATGCCCCCCTTTTCCATTTAATCTACACTCCCCCATCCCTCTCTTATCAGTTAAACATAAAATAGAAATTAAAAACTATTAAATATTATCAAAAATAATCACCCCTTATTCAGATATAAAAAACGAACCCATTAACTATTAGACATTTCCAAAAGAAACACTAACTAATCCAGATCACCATTCAAACATTATCAGAAATAAGAACCATTATTTAACTATAATCAGATAAAGTAACTTCATATTTTTTCCTTCTTCCTCCTAATCATCCTTATATCCCGTAAATGAAATTCTGAGTTCTGGTTTCCTCTAGTATCTTTTTCTCTTCTCTTAAAATTCTTATCATCTTTCAAGTCCACTTATAGTTTCCATGAAGAACTCCAATAAATATATTGTATTTCAGTTTGAAAGAATAATCCACAATGTCTTTTTTAAGTTTTAATGATTATTCAATTGCATTTGTGAATCCAGTGAATCCACCTCAACTGTCTCCAGTTAGAACTGAAGAAGCTTCTTGAATGAGAAGAGAAACATTTTCAAAGGTCATCTTCAGTGGTAACATTTGGTTCCAGTAATGAGTTAAAAAGTCCAAACACTTCACAGACCCATAATCAAATATTTCCTTTAAAGTAGCCATCTTGTGCTCTGCTAATCGACTTTCAAGGTTTTGTCTTACGGTTGATATGTAAACAAGACGGTTTCCCACACAAGAGGTTCTTTCTGTTCATTCTTTCAAAGACAAATTTCTTTCCACTGAAATATTTGGTTTGGTTCTCAGATTTTTGGGAAGCGTGCAAAGTTTG